CTTTAGATCCTGTGAATCTGATATTCCTCTTTGTGAGTGAGAGCCCGAGACGTTTTTTTCTTCTTTGTGAGTGAATAAGAAAACTGAAACCTAGGTAATTTAGAGCCTTTGTGAGTGAACCTATGATGTAGGGAAAGCGTACGAATGGGAAAAATACAATACGAGTAAACGAGATACTCTCTCGTAAAACACGTAAAAACTCACAATATCAATTCATTTCATATTCAACTGCCAATAACAAAGAAGAAGGAGTCTTTAAATAAGACTCCTAAAGCTCTAAACCTAACTTGTTCACCAATCTAATAATAATAATAATAATAATAATAATAATAATAATAATAATAATAATAATAATAATAATTAGTCTATCCGCATCATTCTCCTCCGGTTCGGAAGGCTTCGCCCTCGAAGCCGCACCAAACGTGCCGACACCGGAGTCGTACCCATGGCAACCATCGTCCTACGTTTCCCCCGATCGATCACGAAAATTGAATGTCTCCCAACGTCCACTCTAGCCGACCCACACAACATAGGACCGTTACTTCCAACCCAAACACCCCCGGGCATCATAAAATTAAGAAATTCAACACCACCTTCAAGGGGTATGAAGCATGGATTAAAATATGACAAAACTTTGTCAGACTCGTGCCCATGTAATTATCTATACTGCACATAGCGGCCACCAAGAATCGCATCAAGTTCAACGGTATTAATAGCAATAATTCCAGCTTCATCCTCCGGCCTCGGAGGCTCCTCATCGAAAATCGGAGGACCGTCGTACAACGGTCCGTCATGTTGTTCTCCATCCAAATCGGGAATGACCACGCGAAACGGGCCTTCCAATTGACTATATTCGTGATCAAGTCCCCAATCGCGTCGGGCACGATATCCGCCAGCGAAGGCTGCCTCCTCGCGCCAGCCCATGTCGCTGCGTTGTTCGTCGCCATCCACGAAGCCGTTCAGAGGTGGCGGGAACCGCTGCCGGGGCGCCCCGACATGGTTGCGTCCCCCACAACCGCCTCTGTCTCCCCCGCGAAAGCCACGGCCCACAGCTCCATCGCGGTTCGTTTGCAATTCCGAAACAACCACGTTGTTAAGCGTCAAATGCGAATCCTCGATCCCCGTCGAAAGATCGAAAAACCAATCCGTGAAACGCACGTCCAACTCTTGAAATCGGTAGTCAATCTGTTGAAACCGATCGTTGAATGTTGCATCACGTTGTTCGTTTGCGCCATCTTGTCGTCCCTGCGGCATCGCGATCGTACTGACTGCTGATACCAACTGATGTAGGGAAAGCGTACGAATGGGAAAAATACAATACGAGTAAACGAGATACTCTCTCGTAAAACACGTAAAAACTCACAATATCAATTCATTTCATATTCAACTGCCAATAACAAAGAAGAAGGAGTCTTTAAATAAGACTCCTAAAGCCCTAAACCTAACTTGTTCACCAATCTAATAATAATAATAATAATAATAATAATAATAATAATAATAATAATAATAATAATAATAATAATAATAATAATTAGTCTATCCGCATCAACCTAGTTTCTCCCTCTTTGTGAGTAGGGCCTAGGATCTTGACGGGTAACATCAAAGCTCCGTGTGAATTTGTTGTGTGCTACCGGAAATTGAAGTGTCGGTGTATAGGCCAGCCCGAAGCTAGTATCTAGTGATAATTTGTGGGTATTTTGCATGGGGCCTGAGCCTGAAATCCATCAATCAACCGCTATGATTTCGGCGACGATTACGGTGATTTCATTCCTTTCTTCTCGTACTTAAATTATTGGTTTGTTTCCCTTTGCAGTAAGAATACTAGTTTTGGGTTGCTCTTTTGCTGTTCGGGCTTGTTTGTCATTGTTCAGGTTGCTGTCCG